CATGGCAGATATCATCAGAGCAAGAACTTATACTTTACCGAGCAAAAATATGCTAAACCAAGAGACTGTGCCCATAGTCACTCGTTCATACACATTTGCTTGCTTTAATAATGACGCTTCACATGATTTGGTTGGACGGTGAGCCGAATACTTCTTCGCGAGATTCAGCGCTCCAACCTCGATTCTGGTCAATCCTCTTTCGCTTTCTGGCGAGACCATTTCGTCAATTCCTTCCAAGCAACTTTTCCTTCGAAATGCAAAGTCATATCAAAATGAATCGCTGAAGAATGCTTAAAACCATATACATTTTCTTCATAAATTCTCGCATTCTCTGCACTTGGAGCTGGAACTAGGACGAGAAGCCCCACTGAGGAGTTGACAATCGAAAGTGATCACAGACGCTTGACTACACGACGAATGGATACATGCGCCTCGAATGTGCAACCCGGATCGGGCGAGCCTCGTCGGGTCTATTCTACACATTCGATGTCTCTTTCACATTGTCGTCTTGGAAGCAAAACGGCTGATTTGTGTTCTGCTCCCGCTTCTGCGGGTAACGCGGGATGGCTGGATGGTTAGACGAGTGGACGAGTGGACGAGTGGAATGGTGAAATAGTTGCGAGGGGTTGGGGTGAATAGCCAAAGAGGGACATAAAATGGGAAGAGTAGCGGAAGAGTGAGATTTCGGGCCAAGGACGTCTGCAGAAGAGGAGAAAGTCCAGACAAATACATGCTACAAAAGACAATGGCGTCATAAGTAATGTCAGACAGCTTCCACAAGTCGCCTGTCCATTTAACTGTCTGTATGCATGTCTGTGTGCCAGTGTGGTTGGGCGTAAGTGTGTGCAGTTGTACAGTTGTGCACAGTTGTGCATTTCCATTTGTCATTGACCACCAGTTGGTTGGGCGTTGAACCGGGTCCGGTGAATAGTTGCCGAGACGCAAGCGCGATAAATGGTCGTCGGGTGGAATGGTAGATGCTAAGAGGCCAAAAACAAACATGTCCAGG